TTTTTAAAAATGGCACGGAGCCCGCTCCAAAATCCATACCAGACCCTTATCTGAGCATGCAGCACGGCAGGGGAAAGGGGAAGGACAAGCGAGCCCCCCCCCCCACAAACCATACCAGACCACATACCCTGGCCGGTGGGAGAAGGACCTTGTGGGGTGGTTGTGGGGATCTGCAGGTGGGGGGCCCCCAGATCCCACCCCCCCATGTGAATGAGTATGGGGTACATGGTACCGCTACCCATTCACAAAAAAAAAAACAAAAAACCTGTGGTGTGAAAAAAGACAGGAGACAGTCTTTGACAAGTCCTTTATTAAAAGAAGGAAAATAAAATAATGTCCCCCAAAGTAGATCCAATGTCAATCGCGATGCCCACCTCTGCTGCCACCACTACCCGAAAACAGAAAAAAAAAAGGCTGCACTCCCGATGCTGTTTCCCGCAGTCTGCCTGCTTCACTGGTTTGACAGTTTTTAAATATGTAAGGGGTGGGGCCACCCAGTGACATCACATATGTGCCCCCTGCCCCCGTGGGACATCATCGACCTAGCATGCCCTGGTCGATGATGTCACATGGGGGCAGGGGCACACGTGACGATGGATCTACTTCAGGGGACATTCTTTCATTTTCCTTCTTTTAATAAAAGACTTGTCAAAGACTGCCTCCTGTCTTTTTTCACACTACAGGTTTTTTTTTTTATAAATGGGTAGCAGTACCATGTACCTCATACTCATTCTCATGGGGTGGGCCGGGATCTGGGGGCCCCCTTGATAAAGGAGACTTCCAGATTCTGATAAGAATTGTAAAGGATTATACATTCTTGCTATTAAGAGCATAGAATATTAAAAGTGGTTCTGAAGGCTGAAGGCTGAAGGTTTTCTACTCCAATGCATTCTATGTCTAACTAATGATGGTGGCAATATCCTTGGTTATGGTGTGCTGTTCATCATAAGCAAAGTGGGGCCACAATTACTAAGAGTGGAACAATTAGGTGGTATTCCTTTCCTCAAACATGGTATTGTTTTAATCTCCTCCATTTTGCCTAAAGTAAAGTTTGACAGTTTGAAGGGGAAGATCCCCATGCTTACATGGCAGGGGATTTCTGCCAAAATAAGTGCATGGGGCCAATGGCGTCACTGGTTGTTTAGGATTCTTTGGTGTCTGCACCTGCCAGCATCATGAACAACCACTTACTGACAGTGAGAAGTGCTGAAATCTAAATGTTTGCATTCCAATATATTGTATGCAAAGTGTTGCAAGCTTAATATTGTGTCCAAATAGGATAAACAATGTCAAATAATGCTTAGATATTCAGATATTATCAATATACAAAATATCAGGAGAGATAGTGCTAAAACATGAATATCTTGATGAATCCCCCACAAGGCCTTTATGTAAGTCTGGGTAATATAAAGACAACCAGAGAGTAACTTTTGTGAAGAACATTTCAATTCTACATTCAAATAAATTATAGAAGCTTTTAAAATAGATGATTGCAACACGATTTGCAGTGGAGTTAATACTATATCATGAATACCTTGATAGATCCTCCCAAGGACTTACGGTATGTATAACGTATAAGGTCAGTCAGGTAGAAAGCATTTTCATTCTACTTTGAATACACTGCAGAAATTTCCTTTTAGGTATATAGCAAAAGGCAGTCTAATATTGGCCATCTCATCCACAGACAGGGTTGTGGGCAGTAAGTCCATGGTGTAAACTGTAAATCAGCCATGTAAACAGTTTTGCATTATAGATATGGTTGTAAAAGTGGCTACTAAGCACTGCAGCAGATTAAGCTACAATGGTTATCTTGTAAATACCTTTCACCCACAAAATATGAACAGTCATAATATTGGACTGGTCTCACCTAAGTGTGATGAAAAATATTGAAAAGCCCTGTGACAGTAGATATACTCCTGCTGGTCATATACAGCATCAAAAAAATTGCATGGGGTAAGCTAGGTGGTCCAGTAGAGAGAGAGAGAGAGAGAGAGAGAGAGAGAGAGAGAGAGAGAGAAGAGAGAGACCCACATGAATGAGCCTATAAAAAATCTTTAGCAGGCTACAGCTTCTACATAAACCCATTGGGAAGGTGGTCCCAGTGTTACTGTTTGGGCCTGATGTGCAATTAGTTTTTTTTGTAATATGCTAGTAAGTTGGGTACTCCAAGGCCCACTAGGGATTTAGGGGTAAATAACATTTTCTGATTGATGCAATTTGGTTGATTTACTAAAGGCAAATAGACTTCTCACTTTGCAAATAAATTTGTCCAAGAGTTTAGTAAATGTGAAGTTTCACTTTGCAAAATATACCAAGTCATGTGCAAGGATAAACAAAATCTGCATTTTCTTCGTTGTTTGTAGGGAAGGTGCAAATTGGATGCCCAAATAAGGAACAAAGCCCCATTTGAATTCAACTTTGCTAGAAGAAGTATAACCATTTCTGTTGGTAAATGAATGTTCATGGCCGGAGATTTATTTTTTTGAAGAAAATCCCTCTCCTCACCCACCTTTTCTTTATCTGACAATTGGAAATAAGTGCTCAAAGTCTGATACCTTTATTGTAATATTCCTGAAACCTTTTTTTGTCCTATGAGCTGCCACAGGTCTTCAGATCTAATAGACCATGTAGCTGTTAATATCCATAGGCCTTGGCTTCAACGAAGCCAATTACAAAAAATAGTTATATTTCAGCAGACCAGGGGATGTTAGGTCTGTTAAGTCTGTTATAAGGTATGTGTGGATGTTTCCTTGATCTTGACATTGGTGCAAACATACCATAACATGTTTATATGCTGGAGTGATCTCAGCTTGAAAAAAATTGTAGCTGGAATCACTGAACCAGAATTGGGATCCTAAGTGGATAAGAATGCAAAGTTATCTCTGCGTGACTATGGTTACCCAGCTTCAGATGAGACTTTTAAGAAAGAGATTAGCAGAAATTTGTATTGTTATCAGGTTCTGTGACCCAAGCGTGATACTGAATGTAATGTTAGTCAACCTTGTGAGATTTTCAGGCTCAGGAGAGAGCAAGACACATTTATCTAAACATAATTAGGCATCTATACATGAGAAATGAATTAACATAATAGCAGCAACAGATAAAATCCATGGTATACAATATTTACCCGTCTAAGTCAATGTTGAAAAAAGTCACCTGCCAGGATTGGAATAGAGTCCTTTCCAATGGGGTTCTTTGGTCTCCTGCATGTCTGGAAACTTTGGTCCACAGTGGAGTCAAAGAGGAAATCTGATCTATCAAAGATTGATGTGATGTAGGGCTTGTAGGACCAGTATACTAAGTATATTAAACTATAGGCCAAACATTTTTTTCCATTTTGGATAGAGTAAGGGAAGGTTACAATACTTGTCTTTTTTTTTGCCATCTGTGTTCCATTGGGGAGATTTACCTTCACTTCCTGTCCCACAGCCAAAAGAGAAAGTGAGAGGAAATCCCTGCAAATTAAGGGAAACCTTAGACCCCCAGATCACCAGAACGTGTATCCCTGTTGAAAGACTTCCCCTCTTACTTTTCTGGGGACAACCCAAAATTTGGGATTTTCTTTCTTTTCTTTTACTTTCACTTTCAAAAATAATGGTAGGCAGGACAAATAGAGGGGATGCCGACAGCAATACAAAAAAAAATTAAAGGTGTTCCAATCTTTCTCCACTCTAATATTCCGCTTGAATCTTTCTCCTACAGGTCACTAATATATATATATATATATATATCTGGTCAAATAGATAGCCGGAAAGGATAGACATCCTATTTTTTTTTTTTTTTTGCATATAGTTCACAAGGGGCGTAGGATGATCCTTTCCGGCTAGGATAAGAAGGGGACAAATAAATAGCAGATAAATATGCACTGTGGAGCACATTTTTTTCACTGACTGTGTCAACATCACCTTTCAAGCGCTGCATTTTTTTTTATATATATGAATGTGGGATTTATATGCGTTTTCCTTTATGTTCAGCTGGGATGAGCGCTTACTGTTCCTAAGGGTTCACAAGGAAGTGCAGATAAATGGTGTAGAACAACTCAAGATTTGTGTATTTGAGGTTTCTTTCTATTGTATAGGTTCTTTCCCAAAACAGTGTAGAGGCAACCAGACAGATAGCAAAAGTCCATACACTTAGTCTCATTAAACAGTCATGGAGATGTCTTTTTTTTTTAATATTGCTGAATAACCTTGGAGAGGGTGAAGGGTGATATGTGATACTCCAAAAATACTACATAGGAAAAGGAGAACACACTACTCTGTTCTATGGTTCTCTAAACAGACTTTTCACAGAAGCAAAGTTAGCCAGAACTGAGACTTTGCAAGGGCTGTTTCAGCCAGAGTCACCACTGGCACCTTTACCCAAAGGACTCCAGTACACAGTCATTAGAGCCTTAAGCTCAGCTCCGTACTCAGAGTCACAGGATAGCTGTATGCCTCCTTCCAGTATCCACCGGACACTCCTTAGTGAGGGAGAACTCGATGCCCACAATGCCAAAGGACAGCTAGACCCTTTTCAACCTCCTCCGGGCACTCCTCAGTGAGCTCTCCAGACCATATCCTTAGCGTCAGGAAGATTTGGAAATAGACCGCCCAGCTATGCCACAGCTGGGATGTTGTTGAATATCGGCTTGAATCAGTAGAACCCCCACCCACCCAGGTGAAATCCCTTCAACAGGAAGAACCTGCTGTTCTAAAACTCAGCCTATTTATATGCCTCTCCAGCCACCTGATGGGCACACCTACCCAGAAATTTGCTGAAGGACAATACATATTCAGGCTGCTAACTTAACTATCCAACCCACTGTGTTCTAGAAACATCCAGAATAAAGGGGGAGGGGGGGCAAACAAATTTGAAACCTGTGAGAACCAGAACAGCCCAAAGCAATCAATAGCTGCTCCATTGATTACAGAGGAGCCAATAGTATTTATTTAACCACTTGCCGTCCACCTGCTGTATATAAATGGCAGGACGGTGGCACTCCAGGGGCGGGTTGCCGTTCATAAATGGCACCCGCATTTTCTAGCTGTGCGCGCTCCCTTGGAGCACGCAGCACCCTGATCCGGTGCCTGCTGTGTCCTCCGGACACAGTGGAACACCGATCGTCGGACGGGACCTCTCTGCGAGGTCCCGATCACATGCAGAGTAGTAAGCAAGATGTCACTTGTGACATCATTGCTTACTACGTGTAAAATCTGTGAATGATCACAGAGGTCACATGGTACAAGGCTATTCACAACAGCCTTGTACCATGTGACAAGCTGTGACCAATCAAAGCTCACACAGTAGTTCTCAATGGCTGCAAGAATGCAGCTAGAGAGAAGGAGAAATTATTGCTTTTACAGCCTTTATGGGTGTAAAAGCAATCAGTGTAAAAAAAAAAAAAAAAAAAAATCTTCATCACCCGCCACAAGTAGTACAGTGTCACCATGGTGACACTGTACTGCTAGGGTGACAGTATGTAAAAAAAAATATATATATATAAAAAAAAAAGTAAAAAAATAAGTTTAAATATTATAATTTTTGGTTATAAACTAATTTGGGTTATTTTTTTTTTACTAAAAAGATAACAGAATAAATGTTGGCCAAGATTTATGATGAAATACTATTTATTTGCAACATTTTATAAGAAAAACACTTTTTTTCAAAATTTTTGGACTTTTTCATTTACATAGCAAAAAAATAAAAAATCCCTGTGGTGAATAAATACCACCAAAATAAAGCTTTATCTGCCTAAAAAAAATGCTAAAAAAATTCATATTGGTACAGTGTTGCATGACCGCGCAATTGTCATTCAAAGTGTGATAGTGCTGAAAGCTGAAAATTGGCCTGGACAGGAAGGGGATAAAAGTGTCCGGACATGACGTGGTTAACATCCTAGCAATCTATCTAGGAGGGTTCTGCATTTGTTTATATTTTGTAAATTCTTTTAATAAAGAGCATATGAATAAAAAAATCTATTCATGGACTCCATGGAGTAGATAAAAGATTCATAAAAATAATAGGTTTAAGAACTGCAGTTTTAAAGTCTTGCGAAGGTGGCAGAGGAAATCAATTATTACAGGAGGAGGCTAAATTAATCTCTTGGATAAAAAATAGTTGCAAAGTTCTAATAGGCATTATATCCTTAGCTCTGTAGCTGCTGAGAACTATAAAGCTGATGTCCCTATAAATCATTGCATAACTGACAATATAAAGAAAAGTCTCCTGCTCTCTCCACACAAAGAAAGAAACAATGCATCTGTGTACTCTCTGCCTAGAACCCCCTACTAAGACACATCTGTAAGGGTTAATATATGCTTTATAACCTAACTGTGCTATCTATGTACAATCAACTTTAGATTTACAAACTGTAAAATGAGGAATTGCCTAAACTATCATATGAATTTCTATCCAATCAGGCAGGTCCTAGCACTACAAACTTTTTGGTAGATCTAAAGGAACTTGTCCTTTTATAGTTAAGAATAAATAGTTGAATAGAATTTTATTTTTTATTTTATTCTTGTAAACCAGAATTTAGTATCACATTAAAGTATAACTAAAGGCAAAAACTTTTTATTGCTTTTGGATAGAGTAGAGGGGGATTAGACTGCTTTTCAGTTTTTATTGCCATCTGTGCCCCTATTAAGGAGATTCACCCTCTCTGTTTGTCCTGTTTAGATGATCATTGATAGTGAAAGTAAAAGAAAATCCCAAATTTTGGGTTGTCCCTAGAAGAGTAATAGAGGGGAAATCTTCCAATGAGGACATTAGTTCTGGTGACCTGGGGGTACCTAAGGAATTCCATTAATTTGCAGGGATTTCCTTTCACTTCCTCTTTGGCTATGGGACAGGAAGTGAAGGGTAATCTCCCCAATAAGACACAGATTGCTCTATCCAAAACGAAAAAAAAAAAGTTTGGAATATAGTTTTTTTTCTTTAACCACTTCAATACCGGGCACCTTTACCCCCTGCCGGCCCAGGCCAACTATTAGTTTTCAGCGCTCTCACAGTTTGGATACAGTGCTGCATGACTGTGCAACTGTCATTCAAACTAAATTTTTATCATTTTGTTCACACAACTAGAGCTTTCTTTTTGGTGGTATTTAATCACCACTTGGTTTTTTTTTTATTTTTTTGTTAAATTATTAAAAAAAAAACCTAAAATTTTGAAAAAAAAAGTTCATTTCTCATATAAAATGTTGCAAATAAACAATTGTTCTTCATAAATTTAGACCAAAGTATATACTGCTTCATTTCTTTGGTCCACAAACTATGGTATAAATCTGAAAATCGATCAGTCCTGATGTACTGACAGTAGTGATATCCCCCAAAATGACCCCTTTTTAGAAAGTAGGCACAGTATTTAGTAAGAATCATGGTGAATTTTTCGACATAATTTTATTGGTACTTTTTTTGGAAAATGAAGACTTTTTTTGTTTTTAAATTTCACCATTTTTTGTACATACTGTCACCAGTGCAGTGCAGCGTCATATAACTGGCATGGCAGGGACACTGACTGGTGATCGTATGGGGGGGAAAAATAAATATTTTAATTACTTTTTTTCATGATTTTGTTTTTATAAAACACTGTGACTAGAGTAATATAATGTTACCATGGTAACATTGCACTACTCTGGGGAAGTAATCAGTATTTTTTTTTTTGATTGCCTATAGCAGTAAATTGCACTGCTATAGGCAAGCATTTAACTGAATGAAATTGATTAATTCAGTGTTTTCTGTTGTGATTTACTGTGATTGGCAACAGATAATCACATGACACAGATGGACTGTGATTGGCCCAGTCTGTACCATGTGATTACTGTGACCAATCACAGCTAGCAACACAATTGTATACAATGGATGGCATGAAAAAAAGCCATCCATTGTTTACAATTGTCATGTGACCTGCTGCGATTTGTCACAGCGGTCACATGGTACCAGCAATGGGCTGAGACACAGATCAGCCATCAGCCACAGATCAGCCATCGCCATGGACACAGTCAGTGAAAGATCTGGCCACAGTGCACCTCCAGGTGAGGTTGCGATCTGGGAGGACGTCATAATGCCCACCCAAATCTAAGAAAGTCCAGCTTGGCCGTCACTTTGTTATTGGCCGGGCAGGAACTGGTTAAGGACATGTGTCACAATTCAAAGTTTAGAAAAAGTTCAAAGCTGTGACCTTGAGTCTCCAAACCCTCTCCCTCCCCCCTCACTTCTGCTGTTTTGGCACAAGCAATATATATTAGTTGCGGTAGTGTACATAGAGCAGTGCACATGACAGCAACTAATATGTAACGCTTGTGTCAAACAGCAGAAGTGAGGGGGGGGGAGAGGGTTGGGAGCTCAAAAAGATCATTACAAGAGGCAGAAAAACACTATAAAATGATTTAAAATAATGGATTACAGTGCCATTAAAGTGGTCTTAAAGCTTAAGGTTTTTTTTTTTTCAAAAATAACAAACATGTTATACTTACCAACACTTAACATCCTCTTCTAGGGTCCCCTGTTCGCACTCTAGGCTCCTCCTCTTTTTGGTGTGCCACCATAGAAAGCCGCTACCTTTGGGGGCGCACCTGCAGACGAGCTCTGGAGCTGGACTGTGTATGCCTATAAACACACACAACACGGCTCTGGGCTGCCCCTGCTCCCTCTTCACAGAATTTGATTGACAGCAGTAAGAGCCAATGGAACCCGCTGCTTGCATTGAGTCCGGGGGGCAGGACTCGGATAAGTATTTATGGAGGTGAAGGGGTGATACAAATGCTGGGCGATTTTTTTTACCTTAATGCAGGGAAAGCATTGAGGTAAAAAATATCTTGCTTTTAGAATCACTTTAAGTAGTTTATATGTATGAATTATTTTAGAGAATAAAGATAGCATTTAGTGTTACTATAATCAGAGCTTGTCGGTAGAGAGTACACACATACAATACATTGTTTTCTTTATGTGTGAGGAGCGCAGCAGACCTTTCTTGGTATTGTAAATGAATCTCTGGCTCATTAGGGAAAATAATTAGAAATTAGAAATGAATTAGTAATACATGCTTCTTGTTTAAACTAAAATGGTTACTTAGTGTCAGGTATTGAAATATGTAAATACATAGGATCGTAATGAAATGTCGTATGATACATACAGTATTTTGTGAACAAATAACACTGGTTAAATCCCTGATTTGGTTCTCACAAAATTAATTCCTCTACCCCTTGTGAGGTCAAATAGCCATGCTCCAAACAAAGGATTATCTGAATGCCTTGAGAAAGCGTGCTGACTGCACAGGATATAGTTGTAGGCAAGATAATATTTTTAATTGCTGATAGCCTTTGTTAATACTGCAAATAAAGGAACAGCATGCCTTGAGTGAGTGGATCTTCTTTGGATTACTTTGAATTCCCATCATTGAGTGAACACCAGGATTGATGCTTGTGCAGATTTGAGGTATATAAATGTATCTGTGGTGGGCGGAAGGTGGGTTAGGTTTGTTTGGGGGAAAGATGCAAAAATGATAAATTCATGTCTTAAAATGCACTTATTCTTTAACAGTTTTTCATTGCATTTAATTTACCATACCTGCCACATGGCTTTATAATCTTTTTTTTTTTAAGTTTTGCCTAACTGTTGGGAGTGGGAACTTTTGCCTATTTCATGTGTTATAGCTAAAAAAATCATTTTTTATTTTTATCTTTTGATAATATTTGCTTTGCTTACAGTAAAGTCAGTACATGAATCATTTCTTTTGTACTTTGAGATATTTTCTTTGCAGACAGAGACATTTTTCCCATGTGTTTTAAAATAACAGCACTGCCTTGTTCTTGTTTTTCTTTCTCTTTTGAAGGGAGGGCTCAACAATTCCTCTGAATTCTGGGAGCCATGACATTGCTCATAGGGCCATGTAGCTTAGCTGTCGGTGGCACTCCCTCCTCTTCTCTGCAGCAGCTGCTCATTGACACAGCAAAGCTGAAGCTCGCAGGACCAAGTGACTGGACCAAAACAGATTAAAATTAGTTAAGTATACAGACTTCTTCTAAACAGGTTAGGCAGGATAGGTAGGAGAAGGGGGCAAGGAACATTTGTAAGAATAGATATATTAAGGCTTTACTTTCACTTTACAATTACTATTGCAAAAGTGCTGCAAAGATCTAAAGTTTCTGGGAGCATATGAAGTTCTTCACAACCTTACTTTCTGTCTGTACAATCTTTACATAAGATTTACCAAAACTAGCAAAACCTACCGAAACTATAAAATACATTTATATCCAATTGGCAGGCCCTTGCACTACATAGTAGGTAGATCTAGAGGAAATAGTACAAATAAAATGTAACGTGTGGTGAACTTAATGCTCTATTGTAGTATTATATGAATTTGGTATCTGGTGAATGTAGACAGAAGTTTTGCCTGGTGCAAAACTATAAAGTCCTTATCTAATAGAACAAAACATTGGGCATACACACCTTGTCATAGTACTACCTGGTGTTTGTCACTTTATGTCACACTTCCTAAGTGGGTAGCACAGTGGCTAAATGGTTAGCACTTCTGCCTGGCAGTAGTAAGGTCGTTGGTTCAAATCCCAGCCACGGCACCACCTGCCTGGAGTTTGCATGCCTGTGCCTGCGTGGGTTTCCTCCGGGTACTCCGGTTTCCTTCCACACTCCAAAGACATGCTGGTAGGTCAATTGGATCCTGTCTAAATTGACCCTAGTATGTGTATGTATGAATGTAAGTTAGGGACCTTAGATTGTACACCCCTTGAGGGTTAGGGACTGATGTGAATGTACAATATTTGTAAATGTAAATTGACGGCGCTATATAAGTACCTGAAATAAAATAAATAAATAAGTGCATTACTTTACAAACCAAAAAACAAATTGTTCCATTACTTAGGGGCCAATTCATACTGACTTCTGCTAAAATGTATAGTAAATGGATGTACATTTCCATCCATTTTAGTCACACGCTGACATCCGTTGACATACATTTTGACGTCTGTTAACATACATTTTTTATGTCCGTTGAAATGCATTTTAGTGTGCGTTAAAGCATGCTGTATATCATAGGATATCTTGTGCACTGCGTTGACATCTGCTTCCATCCGATGCATTGCGCTAAAATGCATACATGTTGCATTTTAGCCCAACACAGGTCAATACAGCGTTATGGTGTGAATGGGACACATTGGAAATTATTGTTTATCAGATGTCCATCCATTTATCTGTGTTTTACAGATGCTAAAACGCAGATCAATGCACAGGTGTGAATTGGCCATAATTAAAATGGAAAAGAAATGTTCCTATACAGTATTTTCATTGAATAGACAACTTTAGCACATTTAAATAAGAATCCATACTTTAAAAAAAAAAAAAAGTCCAACAATGCTTTATAGAGTGTCTGTCTATTATATGTGGCATTTTTAGATTTATTAGTCTGGATTGGTTTGTCTCTGCAAGCTATTGGTATTTAAAGTGATAATGCAGTAAGCTCTTTAAATATCAACAGTGACAAAATGTCGTTGCTTTATTTTTTTTGAAGCAGTTATGTTTACTCTTGTCTATAATGTTCAGCTCTGGTATTTTATGTAGTTTACTAATTAGCTAAGATGATCTGATCATAACACAGTTTTTGGCAATCTTTACTGTGATGGGCTTATTGGAGAGGATCAGATCGGAAGTAGGATCATTTCTGACAGCTGTTATACCTGACAATTTGTAGAAACTTTTTAATTAGGTAAATGCAGCTAACAAGTTGACCTCACCATCTGCTGTCATTTATAACACCTTTGAAGGCATTTTATTGTATGCTAATTCTTTTCCTATCTAAGTGATTAAATGTCTATTTTCAATTTTGGATTGGATATGAATAGTCACTTCATCCACCTCAGAAGGCCTGTAGTGACTCATGCTCTTGGATTCTGCACAGAAATGAAACGGCTTGGTATTATTTATTAGCTGTGCGATATACAACTATTCAAACCTGATTTATATGAGGAAGCCCAAAGTTCAAGGATATGTAGTACAAAGCTGATGCCTGATGTTAATGTTGATGCCTTAAATTTTCCAACAGAAAATATATGTCTTTCTAAACAAGAAAATAAATTCCTATATAAAGGCAGCTGTACATGTACAGCAGCATGTATCACAGATGGTACAATCCTACATAATAGAGTATGAATGTGAGTCAAACAAAGGGTCTATTCTATACGATATTAATTATATCTATCCTTGCAGCAAAACATTCACCGCACATTGCCCAAACATAATTTACCACTGTCAGCTGTTGAATGCAGTTTGCCTGGTGCTATCACTCAATATTAAAGCTATAAAAGTATTCACTATAAATGTAAAGAGAAAATATAAAACCTATAAGAGAAAGGTCATCACAGGGTATTTTTGTGTCTACAAATGACCTACAGCTTTTCAGCCATTACATTACATTCAGCTATTTTTCTTCTGAGACTTAAATGTCTCGAGTCACATTTTGAAAATTTTAGTAGGATGAGCTTTAAAGCTGAACGTCAAAGGAGGTGACCTTTTATTTATTTATTACAGGTACTTATATAGCGCCGACAATTTACATATATATTGTACATTCACATCAGTCCCCAATTCTCAAGGAGCGTACAATCTAAGCTCCCTAACTCACATTCATACATACACATTATTATTATTATACAGGATTTATATAGCGCCAACATTTGTGCAGCACTTTAAAAAAGTAAGACATACTAGGAACAATTTAGACAGGAGCCAATTATCCTACTAGCATGTCTTTGGAGTATGGGAGTACATCAGAGTACCCGGAGGAAACCTAAGCAGGCACAGGGAGAACATGCAGACTCCAGTCAC